CAATAGTTTAGTATTCAAACTATAAATTAAGAGTGAGGATAAAATAAAAATATTTTGGATATAAAAGTTCTCAAAATTTTATTTCCCATTCATTCTTTGATGAATAGAAGAAACTATTGAAGGACATCCTCTACAAAAACAGGGAAGAGGCAAAGAGAATTTCTGGGATGATGGGAGGGGAATTCCTGAAAGACAGGTGTGCCCAGCGTCACTAGTCCAAACCAACAGGACAGAGGCTCTGGGAGAAGCTTCCTTAGGGAGGTGAAGGTGATAGTATACATAATGTATTTGGGTGTCTTGAAATATGACTGGCTGTGAGTTTGGCATTAATGATTAGCAGAAAAAAACTAAGAAGGGAAAAACAATAGTTAACTCACAGAAAGACAAGTAATCATTTATTCCAAGGTTTAGCTCTGAAAAGAAACTTATTCAGATATTCTCAGATACAATAATTCAAACACTGATTAGTCCTCTACTCCAAATTATAATGTAACTACATAAGGAGAATGGAGAGGTGGGAAGAATGTGTGTGTGTGTGGTGTGTGTGTGTGTGTGTGTGTGTGTGTGTGAGAGAGAGAGAGAGAGAGAGAGAGAGAGAGAGAGAGAAGGAGATGGGGTAGAAAAGAGAGAAAAGTTATTGTCTTCTACAGGGAAAAGTCAATACATAATACTCAAATAGGTGAAACCAAACATGTTTTCAGAGTCAGGAAAATAAATTCCAAAAGAGTCAACTAAAAGATGTGCTCCCATGAAGAGTATTAGCAGCAGGAGGGAAGTTGACTACTATTTTTCTTAAATTCTGACTTTTTAAGCCATGGTACATATAATTTTAACAAAAGAGAAATTTTTTAAAGAAAGAAACATGCAAGACTATCCAAGAAATTCTGAAATAAAGAGCGCTGAGCTGGATAAGGTAGAGCTGGTATTAAAACATAAAGCTCCCTAACCAGTATGGCTCAGTGGATAGAGCGTTGGCCTGCGGACTCAAGGTTCCTAGGTTTGATTCTGGTCAAAGGCATGTACTTTGGTTGCAGGCACATACCCGGTAGGGAGTGTGCAGGAGGCAACTGATCAATGTTTCTCTCTCATAGATGTTTCTAACTCTCTATCCCTCTCCCTTCCTCTCTGTAAAAAAAAAAAAAATCAATAAAATATATATATTTAAAAAAAACATAAAGCTGCAAAAACGAAAGCAGTTTGCTATGGGTACATCCATGGACAGATGATTAGCACAAAGCAGAAAAATCAAGAAATATATACAGGTCTGTATGGAAATATGTACATGGTAACTGTGACATTCCTGCTCAGTGGAAAAATTAACTATTCAATATCAGGTTTTGTAATAATTAGATAGCTACATAGAAAAAATAATAAAAATAAATTCTTTACATCAAAATAATTTATAGCTTTGGTTGAAGATTTAAATGTTAAAAAATGAAATGCTTCAATAATTTGAAGAAATCATAGGATTATACTTTGAAAACATTCTTGGAGTTTCTAAGTGAGACACAAGATCCAAAACCACAGTAGAAAAAGTGATAAATCTATTTAAAAATTTACTCTATAAAACTGTACAGATAAAAACAAAACAGAATAAGCCATAAACTATGTTAAAAGTCAAATGATAAGCTGGAAAAATATTTATAGCACATAAGACAAAAAGGGGTTAATACATTCACTAATTAAAGAACCATTATCAATCTATTAGGAAAAGATGAACATCTCAATAAAAGAACAATCAATAAGAAGAATTCATTAGATGAGAATGAAAATGATTAGCATCCATGAAAATGCTAAAGATCAATATTAATGAAAATTAAAACAACACATTACTATTTTTGGTCTATTACATTGCCAGGTGTTGCAAGGATACAAATATTAATTATATCTAGGGCTGGCAAGTAACAGATAAATGGACAACTCACATGTGGGCAGTGGGAATATGAATTAGTTCAACTTTTCTGAAATTCTCTGGTAATAAGAATCAAATGCCCTTTGGCCTAGTAATCCCACTTTTAGAAATTCAACTAAGAAAATAATCAAATTATTGTACAGAGATCATGTGTAAGAATGAACACAGAACATCAATATTTACAGGACAGATAGACACAATTCAAGTATCTATAAGGATTTGGTAAACTAAGTTGTGGTCTGTACATCAGATAGAATATTGTGCAGTCATAAAGTGATGGGGGTTTATGTTTACTACATAGAAAGATGTCTGGGATGTATTGATGAATGAGGTAGCAAGTTGACGTACAAAAAATACATACCATGGTACATAGGTGTCTAATATGTGTGTATGTAGAGAAAAATATTACGGTAAAGTCAGAAAATTCACATTGTAGCTATGTTACAATGGTTAACTCTGGAATGTGACCACCCATTGTTTTTACTGCCCTCATTTTAATTTTCTGTATTTTGCAGTGTTTCTTTAGTAATTGTAAAAACACAAAGCTCAAGAAAAGAGAAAATAACTTACAACATGCTGAGATAAACAGAAACCCTGAGGTCCAAAGGCTGGAATAGCTGGTCAGACAGAGCACACACACAGAGAAGTGTAAAACATGGAAATCCAACCTCTGGAGAAGAGATGAAGAAGAGGCATGTTTTTCTTGCTTTAGAACAGCAGACTGTATCAGATGCTTTTTAGGGAAAGTGACTTTTTGGTTGGAGAATCTTTGATTCTTGTCACTTTGATTCTTTGATGTTTGCATAAGATTGTAATCCAAAGTAATTGCTTTAGAAGTTTTAATATATTTGCCTTTCTCTGTACTTTTAAAAATGTAGATTAAAAAAAAAACCAGAAAATTTTCAGTTTCTATAAGGGATTGTTTTTTAAACCATTAAAAAACCCACCCTTGCCTTGCCGGCGTGGCTCAGTGGTTGAGCATTGACCTATGAACCAGGAGGTCACGGTTTGATTCCCAGTCAGGGCACATGCCCGGGTTGCAGGCTCAATCCTCAGTGTGAGACATGCAGGAGGCAGCGGATCAATGATTCTCTCTCATCTTTGATGTTTCTGTCTCTCTCTTCCTCTCCCTTTCTCTCTGAAATAAATTTTATATAAATTATTTAAAACAAACCCACCCCTCCTAAATGCACTCTGGGCTGCAACCTTCCTGGCCTCAGCTGCGGAGGACCTGAGCAATTACACAGCACTTGACGCGGCCTTTTACCCTTTTATGTTGCAGCTTGTGTGCCTCCTGACCCGTGAGAGAAACAAGAAGGAAGACAGGGCAGACATGGCTTTGATGTTCATCCAGCCACACACTGTGAATACGCTGCCTCTTTTTCAGTTCTTGATGTACAGAATAGGCTAGAGGGGCCACACACAGCCCGAGAACTCCCACACCGCAGGGGTGACGCAGAAGCTAGTGCAATTTTTTATGCAACTGTTTCAATACAATGTCCTATTTGTTATAGGTTTTCTGTATGGAGCAGCCTATGCAGGTGAACTGTATTAAAATAAATTAATCTCTCACTGTCCTCCTCTGAATCTCTCTCTCTCTCTCTCTCTCTCTCTCTCTCTCTCTCTCTCTCTTTCTCTCTCTCTTTTGCTTAGAAACAACTAAGCTTTAGGAAAAGAAATCTAAGCAGAATCTGCAGCATATTACATGCTGTACTCATCCAGCTTGGTGACTCTCCACTCCTAGGTACCATGATGCCAGGGGCATAGACTTCATACTGAGACACCATTCCCTACCCCGCCCCCATCCTCATCAACTATCATTGGAGAGAAGCCAGGAAGGCCCTGGTGTGTGGATGGACCAAAAAGCAAAAAGCCCTCTTGTCCTCTTACCCACGTCTTCAAATTCAAGTGACTTGGGAACTCATTGAACAAACCTACTCATATCTGTTTATATTATAGGATTTTTTTCCTTTGGTGAAAAAATGTATAAAGGGAGAGACCTGGGTGCTTGTTTGGTATGTCAAAAACTAACTTCTCAGCCTGGTTGAGAAGGTCTCCTGGATGATGCCTGATGCCCAATTCTTCCACTCACTCTGGAATTCTGTCTTTTGTCATGGTTGTTCTGCACCAAAGCATGAATGACAGGTATTTACAGGTTAAATTAATACAGTTTTTATTTTGTAAATTTTGTACTTTTTATCGATGTAAAGTTTCCAAAGTAGAATTCACACACACACACACACACACACACACAGAGAGAGAGAGAGAGAGAGAGAGAGAGAGAGAGAGAGAGACTAGGAACTCAGGGCCTTCATAGTTGCTGACCACACTAAGCCAAGCATGTGCTTTTTCAAGTCCTATAAATTTGAGTTTGTATGTATGTCAACATCATCCTTTCAGTATTAGGCTAAACGTGCTTTTCTTATATAAAAATGGGCATCTTCCAAAGTGTGTGTGTGTGTGTGTGTGTGTGTGTGTGTGTGTGTGTTGTTTTTATAAGGTAATTTCTACACTGTCTGAGTGACCAACTATTTCATCTTAATATTTCATTCTCATGATATATGTGTGGCTATGATTTTTTTTATAAATAAATCATATGAGAGTCCAATGAGAAGAAACCCAATATTTTGCTATAATGCATAAGGAGTCTTTTCTTTTGTACATTAATCAATGGAAACTTCAAAAACCTTATGGTATTAACCTGAGATTTTTAAAAAAAGACTATTGTTGCAGTCAGGAAAAAGAGTTTCGAACACATTAAGATTCCTAAACATATCTGTGATGAGCAGTTCCTGAAGAGTTCCTGGCCCCAGCAAACATGTGATTTAAGTGAATTACATACCAGGATTCTTCTAAAAGTTAAGGAAAGTACATATAACAAGAATTTAATATATAAGATCATCTCAGACAAGTTGGAAATAAGTGCTCTAATAATGTCTATGGCAAATGCCTTCAAAGTCTTGATTTATTTATTAAAAGCAATAAACATAATTGTAAAAACTAAAATGTCTGATTTGTACAGAAATATTAACAGCTTTTCCTCATAATTTTTACATTTGATTTTTATTATTAAGATAAAAGTACTTACTCTTGCATATATATGTTCCTGTAAGAGAGGAGAAAAAAGTAAACTCATGTAAATCCACATATGTGAGGTAATATACAAGCATTGTAACATTTTTTAAATTTTATTACATAAAAAAGTAATGTCATTTTCGTGAATGTTTTTATAGAATTGGTCTCATTGTTTTATAATCAGGTCCCTAAAACTTTATTTTAGTATATTTGCACCGTTTTTGCTTTACTCTTATAGTATAAGGTTAAAAACCGTAGATCCAGATTATAGTTAGTATATTTTCATCATTTGAAAATGGATTTAAAGATCAATTTTTGTTTACATTATAAAAAAGAATTTATTAAACATAATAAGAAAAACAGATTACAAGATTACAAGGGAAGGTGATTGACTTGCAGAAAACCATATGCTCTGTAACATCTTTGTATGCAGTGTGATGCAGATTATAAACATTATAAAATTCAATGAGGGAATTCCACAAAAACTTTCACGAGGCATTGCTAGCTTTTGTGGCTTCCATTTTGCTCAAGTAAAGCTCAGATCCTTCCCAGGCAATGTCCTCTGCCTCTCCTTCCTCTCCTCTCTACCGCAATGTCCTCTGCCTCTCCTCCTTCTCCTCTCTACCTCCTTTCCTGTTGATCCTCGCCTTTCCCACCCGCGGCAACCATACAGGCCTCCCGCTCTTTCTGAAGCTGGAAGACCCGCTCCTGCCTGCAGGCTTTCGCAGTGCTGCCTGCTCTTCCTCCAGATACAGCTCACTCCTCATCGCAGTCAGCTCTCTGCTCAAATGCTCCTTCCCAGTGAAGCCTTCCCTGACCAAGCTTGCCTCCCACCGAACTCTTCATCCTCACCTTCTGCTTTATTTCTCTCCCTTATGCTTTGCCACTTTCTAATATAGTATATCCTTCTTCAGTTTACTGTCTTTCTCTCTCCACTCCCCACTCCCAATGAAGCAAGGATTTATGCTTGCTTTGCTCTTGGCTGTAGCCCCAGGACCTGAAAAAGTGGCTGGCACATGGCAGGAGGGCAAAACATATTTGTCAAAGTAATTAATTAACAATAAAAAAGTGGGAATCATTTCAGTTAAAATTTCAGGAATAAGAGTTTTTCTCTAAAAGCCCCATGGCTCTAGAGAAGTAAAGTAATGACCGGTATTAATAACGTGATCCCCTTGCTCTCTGGTTTCCAGGCTTTTGGAATACAATAAATGTTTTCAATATAGAACACATTTTAAACCCATCCCTTAACTGTAGATGGTCTTTTCATATACAGTGATTGAGAAAAATTCAATGATAAATCCCTATGCTGAGCTCAGTAAGTTTGAGGAACCTTTTTACTTCCATGAAGAATTGCACCCCCACTACCCCTTGCCCAACGTTCCCTCCCATTCACTGCCTTTAAGCTCACATTCTTCCCCCAATTTCTCTCCCTTTCTAATGAGGAATTTTTGTTTTTCCAGTGTGCGCTGTGGACCAAACATTAGAAAATTTGGGAGTGAAGTTGACTAAAAATAAAAATCCATTTTTCTATGGAAACAAACAAGTGAGCAAGGTGATCATTTGGGAACCAAAACACATACTTTGAAGTTGAAAGAAAAGATTGCTCTTTTCCCTCCTAGAGACAACATGGAAAATTTTTCTCCTATTTTATTTATTTCAAATAAAACTTAAATATCATAACATAAGTTAAATGCTGTGTTTAATGTAAGTGTAACATTTTATGAAAAGGAAACAGAGATCTTCAACATATTTTTTTTGTTGGTGTAGTGATCTAATGGTCCTTTGTTATTACATCTTTTTATTTGCTCTCTCTCTCTTTTTTTTTCTAAATCTCTCTTTTAGGATAAAAGTTTCCTAGAAGTTAACCCCAGCCAAGGACAATTCAGGAGAAAGTTAAATCGTTTACCCCTTGTTGGGATAAAATAACTGAATATGTCTACTGCCACACCTCCTACTCTCATGGATTTATTATAATTTGAGTCACAATTAACAGAAGTTTTTATGTGACTATTCCTTACAGATTAATCTTTCATTAGTTCAAACATGATGGCATATAACAATAAAATGAAGGAATTTCCAAAAGTGCTTTTAATTTTTATGTGGAACATTCCCTTAGCATAATATTAAGAAATACAAAATGTGGTAAACAGATTGAAAGCTATTCCTTTGGAGTTTGCCTTGCATGAACTTTTAGCTTCCTCCCCGAATGGAGAAGTTTTTGTTGGAATATGAGCAGCCAAAGCACCCAAATGACTGTAAGTTAGAAGTTTTCCTTCTACGAATGACGGACTTAGGAAGATACATTTATAACTAGAGGTGAAGCTAGAAATGTGTCTTCAACTACTAAAAATTTTGGGGAAAAAACCCTTCATTCTTTTTTTATTATTATTATTATTACAAAATACACAGGTCTCTAGGGCCTCTGAAGGGCAGCAGGGATTTGGCGGTATTTACAACAAGAAAAACAGAAAAAGGAGGTGGCAGACAGGCTGTGCTAATTATAGCTACACTGGCATTTAGAACTCTTCTATTTTTCACTTTTCTCATACAGAGGAGAAACCTTAAATAGCCCCAAAGAGACAGAGTGACTAGATCTTTAGCAAATAACTTCCATAAATTTAGAGACTGCATTAATACAGGGTTAATGCAACTGTGTAAACACTCCTTGATGAATAAGTAAAAACTTGCAAGTTTCCAATTTGTGTGCTACAGATGCAGATGTGGTGCTGTGCTTCTGGATAGTTTTAGTCTTTTCTTTCTTAAGGTCTCCGAACCCTGAAATTACTGCTTAGACTGCATCTATAGTCGTGGAAAAAGCCCAGGTGCCTCAGGGAAAGCAGCGAGAGAGAACTGAGGGCATTTCTCCTTCCAAGTAGGTCTTGATTGTGTGCCAACCACATGAGGGTACTGGTTAATGTGCTGATTCCTGGATGGGACCCTCAGCCATCCCATTTATTATCATTATCGTTGTTGTTGTTGTTGTTGTTTTGGTCTGGAGCAGAGTTTAGGAATCTGCATGTTTAGTATACATCCTTGGTTGATCTGACGCAGGGGAACACGCACACCAAAAAAAAAAAAAACACTGCCCTAACATTCCCAAGGGATTCAAAATAGTTTTCTGGATACAAATATTATTTTCTCTTTTGAAAGATACTGGGCTTCAGAGAATAGCCAAAGGTTATGAGCTCACATCTGTTACAGAACCAAACAATCTCTCTACCATCTTCTTGGAAATTAGTCTTGAATCTCACCGTGACAGCTCCTGGCGTGTTATTTACATTAACTCTGGCATTGTCATTCAACTTTCCAGATGGTTTTGTTTATCTACCCAAGTAGAAGGTGTGTTCCTACGAGGCAAGAACTACCTATGCTTACACATATATTTTTTAAATGATTTCAACATTATCTAGCAGTCTTAATAAATATTTATTAAGCCCTCAATAAACTTATTTTAATTTTGGCTAAAATGCAACCTAAGTTTCTTAAAATTCTGGTTTAACTTCTGAAGCATGAAACCACTTCTCTCATGGATATTGCTTCAAACCCACTTATTCTAATATCCCTTGCACGGTAGACAATGGAGGCCGCACCTAATATTCGTTAGAAATTGGCAACTGGGCACTTGGGCTCTGTTATTTAGCCCCAAGGCAAAGGCAGAGCCACAGTAATAGCTTTGACTGATTACTTGGCAAGGGAAACCAAGCCCTTGGGTGTTCCAGACTCTCTTTGGCCTATAAACCTGTTTGAAAACCTGTTCCCAGAATTTAAAGCTTAGCTCAATTGAGGTCAGTATTATAGTAATGTCAATAATTCTACTGCTCTCCGCTTTCAGGCAGACCAGGACAATTCATCACTGACTTTATGTTCAGGGAAAGGCAACTTTTGGGAAAAGAGCTCTAACTTAAGCTACTTTATTTTGACTTTCTTTCCCTTAAAAAACAGTCCTGCCAATATTAATTTCTTTGGATTTTGTGCTTTCTAAACCTCAGCACCCTCCAGTGCCTGGAATTATTCTCTAAAACCAGACTGGTGCTGAATACACCAGATTTGGGACATCACCAGGGCAATGACTGGAGGCTTCCAGAAAAAGATCAAATAAACCATTGGGTCTGAAAGTAATTTTCCGTAAATCGGACTTATTGAAGTTCGAAGAGTTAACCTCTGCCTTTAGCTGGTTAGTTGGTTTTTAAGGGGTCTGATATGGAGCTCTACTGCCTAGTGGAATATTCTGGCAGGGTCAAGCTCTCTCTCTCTTAGGAGTCAAAAGCTTCATGAATAATACACGGATGTTCATCCCCTCTGAGCAGACAGCTCCACCTCTGGGCAGCTGTTAAGAGCACCTGCCAAAGTAATGAACTGCGTCCTCTTCCCGTATGGAGTGCCGTTCCTGGGGTTGGAGTTGGACTGATGATCGTTAGCGGTTCCACTACCATAAGATTTCCTCTTTCATTCTAGAAGCTGAGGAAGGGAAATGGCTCAATCTAGACATTTATTGGATCAGATAGAAAAAGTGTTCATTCACATCCAGGATAACACCATTACTTCTCCCTAGGAATAAACAGTATCTTTATATTTAGAAGAGTTTTCTCTTAATTTATTAATAATACAAATACAACTTCAAACTTTAAGGTTTCTGTGAATTGATTTGCTAGCACTGAACTAATTTTCAAATAGTGGAGAAATAATGAACTAGAGCTGCTCATTACATATTATCTTTAAGAATTAGCTGATCAGCCCTAGCCAGTTTGGCTCTGTGGATAGATAGAGGGTCAGCCCAGGGACTGAAGGGTCGAGGGTTCAATTCCGGTCAAGGTCATGTACCTCGGTTACAGGATTGATCCCCAGCTCTGGTCGGGGCCTGGGAGGCAACCAATTGATGTGTCTCTCTCACAGCGATGTTCTCTCTCTGTCTCTCCCTATCCCTTCCACTCTCTAAAAATCAATAGGAAAATATCCTCGGGTGAGGATTAAAAAAAAAAAAAAAAAGGAATTACCTGATCATATTGAGCTCCTTGTGGGCAGGGCCTAACACTTCTTTATTTTTGTATTTTCAGCACTCATCCCAGAATGATGCTTGGTGCATCACAAGCACTAAGTAAATTATTTAGATTTAGTGACTTAAATATATTTTCTTTTCCACACATGGGCAGAAAAATGGTTAAAGAACTGTAATACCTTAATGACCAGTAGAGGGCAATCAAGTTAGTTTTTAAACCCACTTTCAGTCCCAGTTCTCATCTGCAAAGACTTAATCTAGTCTCACTTAGTCTCCTGATTTCACTTTAATTCAGATACCAGCCTTTTGTGCTCTATCAGGACCCCCATTTTGGCCCCTACAATAGTGTGTATATAAGGGGATGCACCAGAGGGTCAGACTGGCTGGTGTGCATTGATTTATACACTATAGCTCTCTCTGTTTGGTTAATTCTCAGCCTAATCAAAACCACTTGACAAGAAGTAATCCTGAAAAATAAAAGACCACAATAGAACCACTGGGTACGATGTGGGCTAGGGCACATTTTTGGCTTTAAGCTTCATGCGGTAGAAAACTATCTATAATAATAAAAGGGTAATATGCTAATTAGACTAGAAGTCTTCCGGACATCATTCCAGACATCCTTCCTGACCAAGCCAGGGCCACAGGGAAGCCAGCCCAGGTCCTGGGTGCCTGCAGGTGGCTAGAGGAGGGAAGCAGCCTGGGTCCCAGGTGCTGGAAGGAAGCTGGTGCAGGCAGCCTGGGGAAGGAAGGCCTACTCTTGCACGCATTTTGTGCATTGGGCCTCTAGTATCCTATATAATCCTATATAATAAAAGGCTAATATGCAAATGGTCATGACGCCCTCACGCCATAATGACCGATCAGCAGGAGGCTGTGTGCACAGCAGGCACAGGTTGGCGGGGCTGCATGTGCCATGAGGCTGCGCCCCCCGCTGGACGTGATGCATTATTGTTTATTTATTAATAAATTTATATATTATTTTCATATATATTTTACTAATTTTCTTTCATCTCTGACACTTCTATTATAGAGAAAGGGCAAATAGCAATATTAAAATATTCCCTCTAATTAATTCCCTTTTAATGTGCACGAATTTCATGCACCAGGCCACTAGTATACAATAAAATACCAATTTCATGTAAAAGAATCACCCTCAACACATGTCCACATGTATGCCTATAGACAAGATCAGAAGAAAATGCAAATTTGTGGTTACTAATAGATGGTTTAATGAGACGTTAATACATGGAATAGCAAGGGTTTTTATCTTATTCATGTTTTCTTATTTTTTTCAGATATTTATAGTGCATATATATATATATTTCTTCTATATATAAAAAAAATTATGTGGCACCTCCCACCAACAATTTAGGAATGAGGAGGAAGGCATGACTAATTTTCCAGAAACAAACTTTAACAGGGCCTGAACACTTTGACAGTGTTTGCCAGTCTCCCCTCTGTGGGAAGGTGAAGGCCATCTAGAGAGTCATGGACATTCCACTGACTTGATTATCCCGTGTCCCCCAGGGGTCACGGCGCCACATGTTGTCTCACACATTCCTCCATCTATGTGGAGCAGGCAAGTAACAACAGCTTTAAGGGGGGACTTTTCTTCTGCATTTCACATTTTCTTTTCTTTTTCTTAGAGAGGGAGAGAAAGAAATATCAACGTGAGAGTGAAACATGGATCGGCTGCCTCCTGCACACTCCCTTCTGGGGATCAAGCCCGCAGCGTCAGCATGTGCCCTGACCCGGAATTGAACCCTGATCTCTTGGTTCCTGGGTCAATGCTCAACCGCTGAGCCACACTGGCTGGGACATTTCACTTTTCGATGTTGCATTATTCTATTTCCACAGAGCCCTGAGCTTTCTCCTATGTTATTTTCAGTCTCTTTGCACAGGGGGAAAAAGTCAATCAGTGTTTCTGGCATGCCAGCTTTTTATAAAGAGGACGCAAAGCAGAGCTTCCTGCCAGTCTCATAAAACCCAGGATTTACGTGAGATCTTTCATCTGCATCCAGTTAAAATGTTCCCTGCTAGGCAACTGAAGGCACATGGAAATCATCATTGGAAAAGGCCTTACTGTAAGGACTGGACGCAGAGGCTCAATTGTTGCTTCAGCTCCTCCTCCTTTTCATAGGCCTCGAGGACACTGTGCGCTTTGTCATGGTGATAGCAGTAGATTTTATAAATATCTTCCAGCGGCCCTTTAATCTGCAAGAACACTTCTCCTGACAAATGTAAAACAAAGGCAAAATGATATCAGGTCAGACCCAATGGGGACTTCACATACTTATTATTCAGCAACACTAACGAGTGTTGGTTGGGTACCAGTTTATGCCCGGGGTCATTCAGAAGCGGTGGAAAACATTAGTGACCTTCCCCCCTTTCCTTTCCCTTCTCGCCTCCCTCTTTTCCTCTCCCTTCTTTTTTCCTCCCTTCCTCCCTCCCCTTGTTTTATAAAGGAAAGGATAATGAGCTTAGGGGAGGTAGGCGGCCAGTGAAAGCTGGTTTTCTCAGCGGTGACTGTGCACCTGGCTCGTGTGCAGGAGCCTGGCGAAGGGCAGCCTTTTAGGGTCAGTCTGTGTGGGTTTGTATTGAGCTGTTCTGCCGACGTGGACAGGTTATGACTTGGACAATGTATTCTTACCTTCTGAGCCTATTTCCTCACTTATAAAATGGAAACAATAACAGATCCAACTTCATAGGGTCCTTATTAAAATTAAAGACACAGAGAGAATGTGTGTGTGTGTGTGTGTGTGGGTGTGTGTGTGTGTGTGAAGTTCAGAGTCCAGTATTACACGGTAAATGCTCAACATGGAGCAGCTATTGTTATGTATTAAAAGTATGGGAAGTGACATTTTAGGCACTAAAATGACATTTTCATATGTATTCCACCAACATTTCCTGAGGTTCTCTGAAAGGCAAGCAATGGAGTTTAAATGAAGTATTTCCTTAAGTGTTATAATAAAAAGATTTGGCCATTATTTCTGTTAAAATAATGGACATAATAAATAATGTTAATTGGATACTATAAACAAGGGTTATGACTGTCTTCTTCATAAAGTAACTTGGGCGGATTGTGCCCCGGCATTTAAGAAATTATTTTGATATTATGATAAAATTGGGTCTCTGACAGCTCAAATAGGTATTGAACAATGGTTTGACTTAATCACCCACTCTTTCACTTAAAAATGTGTATTAAGCATCCACTACCCTACCCCACACCTTGTTAAGTTGATTTGAGATACACTCAAAAAAATATGTGATAGGGTCTGCTCTCAAAAGCATTGCAGATTTGGGCTTGATAATGATTTGGGTTGCATTGATTGGGAGTGATATGGACTTACTAGTCTGGCCCTATTATAGTAACAACAAGTCACTCTTCCTTCAGAAATAGAAGTGCCCTTTGTATTTTCAACATGTTTTGCTCATATTAACGGCTCAACTCCCTGTGTATCTGGAAATAAGAGGTTATTTATCCTTATTAAATAAGAATAGTCAAATCTGAGTTTAAAAGAAATAAATGATTTCCCCAAAGTCCTAGCAACCTAAATTCCTAGTCCAGCACTGCTATGGCTGGTGTTAGTGGAATAATTAGTGTAGATATTATGATTATAGGTAGCAGGCAATTTATTCATTTTGTGTTCTCAAATTGTCATTTGATTTTCATGTTGTTTCTTGTTGGCAAAGCCAGGATTAAAGACCATATTCTTCTCCTCCTCCTCCTTCTTCTTCTTCTTCTTCTTCTTCTTCTTCTTCTTCTTCTTCTTCTTCTTCTTCTTCTTCTTCTTTTCTCTCTCTCTCTCTCTCTCTCTCTCTCTCTCTCTCTCTCTCCCTCTCTCTCTCTCTCTCTCTCTGGCATTATCCCTCCACACATCAGAGCTTTGCTGGACACTGTACAAAGTAATGCAGTTAGAAAGAATCAGAAATCACTGTCATGTAGCATTTGTGTGGTGACTTGGGGAATGACTTTAAAAAATTCTTTCCTCTCAATTCTATAATTTTTAAAATAGAAATAAGTAATAGTATCTCTGGAGATGAGTTTGAGAATTAAATGGGATGTAAAACGTGCCTGGCATTGACAAGTTGCTCAATTAACATCATTCATGTCTTAATGTTGCTCCACTATCTCTAGAATTAAAACACCAGTCCTTTTCTAATTTATATCCAGCCAATGAAAGGCTTTTCTTTCCTTTTCATTATATGGGATTTCCCTAAGATTGTAGACTGTGTGTGTGTGTGTGTGTGTGTGTTGGACTTCAGAAACTTAGCAACTGTGAGAATCTTGGGAACTGAAGGTATGAAGAATTCTTGTTTTGTCCCTGGGATTGTACTGAGTTGATCATTCTAGCAACGTAGGTCTTGTAGATTTGCTCTTCAAGACAGCAACACACATAGTAAGAAATAGAGTAGTTATAAGAAGAGGAAATAAAATAGGATAGTGACTAAATTTAGTTGGGCAAAAGATGCGGAGAGCCTCCCAGGGACAGAGCCAGGTGGCACATGGGAGTGAGGCCTTGGGCTGGCGGAGGAATTAGGCCCAGCAGTGGGAGTGAGCACCAGGCTCTGAGGACGCTCAGGAGCGAGTCAGGCGAGAGGCTCTGAGTGTACATAGCCCAGCACAAGATGAAGTTGTAAACATGTATGTTCGCTACAAAGCAGCATAGAAACAAAAGAAAGAAAGAGGTAAGGACACTCATAAATCCACACTAGAATCAAGTCAGAAAGTCAAAAAACAAAGGAAAAGACATTTATTTCACACACAATGAAACCATTAATTGTAAATTCCTTTGTATTTTCTTTAGCACAGTGGTCTAGTTTGAAAGAATGTATACCTCCCCTTAACAGCAGTCAAAGTTTCTATTTGTTCCCAAGTAAAATTCTGTTGGGGCTCTAATAATAATTATTAAAGTTAAAAGGTATTTAAGTACTCTAATTGAAAGCCATTTATTCACCCAAAGGCCACGTACAGCTCTGGCAGGCAGAATATTTGATTTCCTCCCAGCCCTACCAATGTATTCTGCTTCATAACAGTGCAGATGAAGCGATGTGTCTTGCAGCAAGAAATGATTTCGTTTCCACGGTAACATAACTGGCGGCTGCGTTTCTTTAGTGGTGAAGGGCAACTCCTCTATCTAATGTATGTGGGTTTGAAGGCATGATTAGAAGCGGTGAAGGGACTGAGCCAAGACCAGGGAAGGTAATTTCACTTCTGGCTGCCTGTCACAAAGGCACCAGCATCCTCTAAAATAAATATGACTGTCGTGTGCTTCTTTTTAAAAATCCTACAACCCGACATTCTGCACTAGCTGGCATGCAAAAGGAGGGAAAAAGGAATGCGCCCTTTTAAATGTCCTATTTATCTCCTTTAAAAACAAGTCCCAAGGATACTGAGTGCATTTTCTGTCTTGGTATCATTACTCCTGTGTTGCATGTTGCTCCCTTCATTAATGTAAATATATTCATGTTCCTCTTGCTGCCCACCTCTTTTTTTAAAAATATATTTTATTGATTTTTTACGGAGAGGAAGGGAGAGGAATAGAGAGTTAGAAACATCGATGAGAGAGAAATGTCGATCAGCTGCCTCCTGCACACCTCCTACTGGGGATGTGCCCGCAACCAAGGTACATGCCCTTGACCGGAATCGAACCTGGGACCTTTCAGCCCCCAGGCCAATGCTCTATCCACTGAGCCAAACAGGTTAGAGCAGTGGTTCTCAACCTTCCTAATGCCACGATCCTTTAATACAGTTCCTCATGTTGTGGTGACCCCCGATTTCATTGTTACAAATTGAACATAATTAAAGCATAGTGATTAATCACAAAAACAATATGTAATTATATATGTGTTTTCTGATGGTCTTAGGCAACCCCTGTGAAAGGGTCATTCAACCCCCAAAGGGGTCGCGACCCTCAGGTTGAGAACTGCTGGGTTAGGGCAAGGCCCACCTCTTTTTTACTTCCAGACCAGCATGTCCGTGCCAGGATGTGCCAGACCAAACCATGAGGCCTCTGAATTATCCTGACCCTACTCCAAGATGAACTTCCCCTCAGGGAAGTAAAACAGGGTTAACCAATGATAAGCAAGCAATCTTCTTGTCCTAGGAAAATGGCATCCAATAAAAAGAAGTATAGCCTTTACTTCATCCTTATATTTGGCAACAATTTAATAAGTGACAGTTATGCACCAAGCACTTTGGTAGCTACCACAGATCCAAAGATTCAGCATTTCCCTTAAGGGACTTGTGAAGGGAGAGAGGAGAGCTAACTCATGTACCACACGATGTGGCGAGTATGTCAATAGAGCTATGAAACACAGAGGGTCACCTATTCTGCACTTTTTTCCCTGCAACTGCTGGGAAGTCAGCATCTTAGCTGAATATAATCTTTAACAGAAAAGTTTGTCCACATATTATTTTAGTTGTTGTTGTTAATCTTCACCCAAGGATATTTTCCCATCAATTTTTTGAGAGAGTGTGAGGGACAAGGAGAGACACAGCGAGAGAAACATCGATGTGAGAGAGACACATCGATTTGTTGCCTCCTTCATGCGCCTGACCAGGGCCGCGGATCAAGCCTGCCACCAAGGTACACGTCCTTGACAAGAATTGAACCGGGGACCCCTCAGTCCTCGGGCCCAGGCTCTATCCACTGAGCCAAACCGTTTTCATGCACCTGACCAGGGCCGTGGATCAAGCCTGCCACCAAGATACACGTCCTTGACCAGAATTGAACCGGGGACCCCTCAGTCCTCGGGCCCAGGCTCTATCCACTGAGCCAAACCGTTTAGGGCCCATTCTGTTCTTGAAGACCTTGAGCTATTTCCATAACAGTCTTCCCTTGAAATAGGAGCTGAGTGAAGGCAAGCGCACAGAGACACATTGAGGGAGCAAGGTCTGTTCAGAGACTGCAATTGGGCTCATATAGCTGCCGATGCCATGTCCGTGCGAAGTTTCAGAAGACGCTGCATTGGCCAGCAGCGGCCAGGTCCAGAAGGACCTTGTGTATCAGCAAAGAGTGGGAACTCCAGCCTGAAGGTGATGGAGAGACACTGGTGGGTTTTAGGCAGCAGCCTAACACGATTGGACTGTCTTTCCGAGAGATTAGTCTGGGACTCAGTCAAATGAAAGTTGGAATTTGGGAAAGAGTTAGTGAGACGGGAAAAGAGAAACCAATTGAAAGGCTTCCATAATAATACAAGAAGTTACCGATGAGGGCTAAAACAGGAA